ATATATATATATATATATATATATATATATATATATATATATATAAGCACATATTATAAAATATTCAGAAATATGCAAATTCTAAAACTCAGAGAACCAAGAATTTTTGGTTAAGGGATATTCATCCTGTTTCTCTCAGATTAGAAGGAACCATAGATGACTGTGTCCACTCTCTACCCAAATGTGCAAATCCTTTTGTTGGGCCTTGCCTGGGATCTCTCACAGGACAGTGGACCTAGTTATCCCTCATCTAATATGCAGGGCTGTATGGTGTGCTCTCTCAGAATTGAGAAAAATGAGCCTGTGGATAAAGTCAGTCACCAGTGAGAGCAGTCCTAGTCTCCCATACCCTCTCAGTCTCACAGAGATGTTTAGAGATCTGTGGACCTGACACATGTCACTTATAAAGTTTGTCCTGAGGAACATGGGCTCTGTTCTCATCTCCATGTCATCAGTGCAGCTGCTTCCTATTGGTGAGCTGTCTCCATTGCCCTGCTCTGCCCTGTCCAGGATGGTCAACGACAAAGTACAGAGGTTCAGGAGAGGAGCCTCTCTGGGGACAGCCTCTCACTAGAGCTACAACAGAAGCTATTGTCCCTTCTTGTTGACTCATCCTTGTTTTATGTTGATTTCCAAATCCAGAAATTCCAACAAGTCCTCCAAGGGGACACACAACGATCACAACATCCACAACTACTTCAACAAGACTCACAGGTGCTCCAAAATCAACCAGAATCTCTACCTCTACTCCTCTACCACCATCAGACACACTGACACCCAAACCAGGTAAAAACTTTGTGTTTCAGCAATCAGAGGCCTTCTCATGGGATGCTGTAGGACATAAAGAACAAGGCTGTCATATGTGCAATCTATGTGAAGGATCCTTAGACGGGTTCCAAACAAGGACTTCATGACATCTGTGATTCTCCAGCCTTTTTATGTGTGCCCTCTGCTGTGGGAGAGCTTGAAGATGGAGGAAACCCATCTCTCTATATGAGATTCTCTGGGGATTCAGTATTAGCAAGACTTAGGTGGATCATTAGGGTAGTTGATGAGGTTGGTGGGAATCCAGATATCTCAACTTAGCATGGCTTCCTGGTAAAGAAAAAGGGAATGATTGAAAGCTAGGATTGGGGTTGGAAGACTCTGGACCCATTACATCAGTTCTGAAATTGTGCCATGCAGCTCAGGCCATAGTCACTGAAGCTAACATTTAGTGTTTTCTAAGCACCAGACAGTGGCTACATGCTTTACAATACAATATTTAATTCTCAGGACAACTGTGTTTGATATAGCCACAATTCATCCCTATTTTATGTAATAGGAACTGTTGTGAAAGTTCATGGTGCAAGTTATGAAGTTCATGGTAGAAGTTATGAAGACTAAAAGTGGCTCAGAGTCCATCTATATTCATTTGAATTGGAAATTGGTTCTTTCAATAAAAACTTCAGTGTCAGGCATCCTATCACTGGCACAGATTTATGTTTGGAGGGTTTGTCCTGTATTCAAGTACTAATTGAAGAAGACTCCCTAAGTCTCCTTTTAAAGGGGGAATTGATGCTTTCTAATGCCTTACTTCAAGGATCTTTCAATATATTCATATAGAATGGAAATTGCAAAACAGAAAGATGTTCTTTATAGTGATAAAAATACACATCAACTCTATAGTCTGTAGGAATCTGAAATGTTTGTTTTTGTGCTGGAGATATGGATAAATAGTTAAAAGCAAGTACTTCTTTAAAAGAGAATCTGAGTAGGATCCAAGTGCCCATAATGTGATTATCACAGCTATATCTTCTGAATATGTGTACTAAAGGGCAGAAAACCACAAACTGCATACACACAACTTAAAATAAAAATAAGTTTAGACTGCTTAAGCTTTGATTGATGCCACAAAGTGCACTCTTCAAATTGAGTACAGATGAGAATTTGATGTAATTTTAATGAATAATTTATTTTTGATGGGGGAAAAGTTTGTCATCCCAAAGACAAATTTAGGTTCAACTCATCTATATCAAGAGTGAAAAAATAGCTGGCAGAAAGAGTCTCAAATCTCTCAAAACTGTTGGTTCTTACATTGTTTTCATTCCAGCACTCACCTCAAACAACAGAACTCTAGTCAATGGTGGAGGGTAGTGATGCCATCCTACACCTGTACAGGGAACTGTACTCACCTTCCTGAACTCCTGGGAAGCTCAGATCTTGCTCTTGATGAAGCTGATGTTGCAAAGGGAGCGCACTCTGCAACAAGACAGACCTGACATTTTCAGGTGGTAGGGGCAGAGGTTCAGCTTTGTTCCAACCCCTCACAGCAGCCTGAAGAGGTCTCTATTCCCCCAAGTTCTTCCATTCTGGACAAACCATGCTATGTAGCTTCTTCAAAGAAAAGAAACTTAGGGAGAGTCAATGTGATGGAATGTTGGAGATTCATTCAGAGACATTTTAACATAGTTGTTTTTGTTTTTAAATTATAAAAGACAATATACACCAGGCAGTCATGGCACATGCCTTTAATCCCAGCACTCAGGAGGCAGAGGCAGAGGCAGAGGCAGAGGCAGGCAGATCTCTGTGAGTTTGAGACTACCCTGGTCTACAAGAGATAGTTCCAGGACAGTCTCCAAAGCCACAGAAAAACCTTGTCTTGAAAAAACCAAAACCAAACCAAACCAAACCAACCCTCCCCAAAACCTCATACAATATAGTAAGATGAAGCAAAAACTTCCATAACGCAGTCAGACATAGCAACCCAATAGGAGGAAAACAGTTTCAAGAGCAGGGTGAAAGAGTCAGAGACCCACTCCTTTTCAGAGTTAGGAGTCTCATAAAATACTAAGCTCATAGCTATTCTACATACACAGAGGACCTGGTGCAGACCCAGGTAGACACCATTCTTGCTGCTTCAGTCTCTGTGAGCTCATGTGCTCCTTGCTTTGTTTATTCAGAGGACCATGTTTTTCTTGTATCCTTCATCCCTCTAACTCTTACAATCTTTTTGCCTCCTCTTCTGTAGGATTCCTTGAATTCTTAGGGGAGAGATTTGTTGGGATACCTCCAATATAGATTCTCTCTCCACTTAATGGTTGGCTGTGGGTCTGTTTCTGTCCCTCTCTGCTGCTAGAGGAGACGTCTCTGATGATGACTGGATAATCAATAAACTATGAATAGTTTATATTCTATACACTATAGCATATGCTATATACTATACTATTCTATATACTATAGCAGAATATCAACATGAATCATTTTATTGATATTTTTATTTATTTATTTACTTAGTTTTTGTTTTTTAGACCAGTTGTTTTTGGTTTTACACTAGGTCTCTGGGTTACCTAGTCTTTGGTTCTTAGTTACTCAAACATTGTCAGGTATGGGTTCCTTCTGATGGAGTGGGCCATAAGTCAAATCAGACATTTGCTGTCTACTTCCATAAGTTGTGTGCCAATAATTCTCTAGGGTATTTTGTAGGCAGGACAGATTGTAGGTAAAAGGTTTTGTGGCTGGGTTGATGCCCATATTTCCTTTTCAGTGGCTTGCAAAGTACTGTCCAGCCCCAAAGAGACTAGAATGTAGTAGATCCATGTAGGTGCCATGTAGGCACTAGCTCAACTTCTCCATGTTCAGTGATTTGTGTAGATGTTGTCCTTGGTAATGGGACACTGCTGTTGTTTCAGAGAGTGACACTTTTTCTTAGCATCAGCCTGGGTTGTTTAGAGTTTTTCAATGAGATTCACTAGCCCCATACAATAGAAGGCTTGTCTGACTACAAGGGATGGATTGTTGAGACTCCATATTCCCCGTTATGAGGAGTCCTCATTAGATCATCATCAGAGCATCCAGGAAGTTTCCAATGCACTAGCTTTCCATGCCACCTCTCAAATGCCCCCCAATTCCAGTCATCTCTCCCCACACTCTTTCCCTCCATCCATCTCCCCACAACCTGTTCCCTGTCTCTCCTGTCCCTGCACATAAAATGTATTCTATTTCCCCTTCCCAAGGAGATCCCTGTGCCATCCCCACCCCCAGACCCTTCCTCTTTACCTAACGTCTCTGGATCTACAGATTGTAGCTGGGTTATTATTTGCTTAATGGCTAATTCCACTTATAAGTGAATACTACCATGTTTGTCTTTCTGAATCTAGGCTACCTGGCTACCTCACTCAGGATAATTTTTTTCTAGCTCCATCCATTTATCTTCAAATTTCATGATGTCATTTTTAAGGAAGCCCTCCCCAATTACCAGCAGCCCCATAGATTGCCCAGGCCTCTTAACTGACACTCAGGTTCAGGGGGTCTGGATCGGTCCCATGCTGGTTTCCCTGCTATCAGTCTGGGGTCCATGAGCTCCCCCTTATTCAGGCCAGCTGATTCTGTGGGTTTCTCCAGTCTGGTCTTGACTCCCTTGCTCATCACTCCTCCTTCTCTGCAACTGGATTCCAGGAGTTCAGCTCAGTGTTTAGCTGTGGGCATCTGCTTCTGCTTCCATCAGCTGCTGCATGAAGGCTCTAGGATGGCATATAAGGTAGTCATCAATCTCATTATTGGGGAAGGGCATTTAAGGTAGCCTCTCCACATTGCTTAGATTGTTAGTTGGGGTCAAACTTGGAGATCTCCGGACATTTCCCAGTGCCAGATTCCTCTTTAAACCTTTAATGGCTACCTCTACTATGGTATCTCTTTTCTTGCTCTCCTCTAATCTTCCCCTGACTCAATCTTCCTGATCTCTCATATCCTCCCCTCTCCTCTTCTTCTCCCCTTCTCTTTCTCCTAGCTCCCTCTCCCCTACCCCCATACTCCCAATTAGCTCAGGAGATCTTGTACCTTTCCCCTTCTCTTGGGGACACTCTATGTCTCTCTTAGGGTCCTCCTTGTTTCCTAGCTTCTCTGGTGGTGTGGATTGTAAGCTGGTACTCCTTTGCTCTATGTCTAAAATCCATATATGACTGAGTACATACCATGATTGTCTTTTTGTGACTGGGTTACCTCAGTCAAGATGGTTTCTCCTAGTTCCATCCATTTGCCTATGAATTTCAAGATTCCATTGGTTTTTTATTTTTTTCCCACTAAGTAGTACTCCATTGTGTAAATGTACCACATTTTCTTTATCCATTCTTCAGTTGAGGGGCATCTAGGTTGCATCCAGATTCTAGCTATTACAAATAATGCTGCTATGAACATAGTTGAACAGATGTCCTGGTTGTATGAATGTGCATCTTTTGGGTATATGCCTAAGAGTAGAATTGCTGGATCTTGTTGTAGAATGATTCCCATTTTCCTAAGAAACCACCATACTGATTTCCAAAGTGGCTGTATGAGTTTGCACTCCCACCAGCAGTGGAGGAGTGTTCCCCTTTCTTCACACCCTCTCCAGCATAAACTGTCATTGGTTACTTTGATTTTTGACATTCTGACAGGAGCAAGATGGTATCTCAGAGTTGTTTTTTTTAATTATTTTTAATTTTTTAAAAAATTAGTCACAAGCTTGCTTCACATGTCAATCCCAGCCCCCCACCTCCCTCTCCTCCCTTGCCCTAACTAACTCCCCCCCCAACCCTTACCTGATCCCCCTCTGCTCCCCAGGGAGTACGAGGCCCTCCATTGGGGATCTCCAATGTCTGTCATATCATCCCAGCCAGGGCCTAGGCCCTCCCCCATGTTTCCAGCCAGAGAAAGCATCCCTCCATGTAGAATGGGCTCCCAATGTCCATTTGTGTGCCAGGGATAAATACTGGTCTACTACCTGAGGCCCCATAGATTGTCAAGGCCTCCTCACTGACATCCATGTTCAAGGAGTCAGGATCAGTCCCATGCTGGCCTCTCAGCTATCAGTCTGGGGTCCCTGAGCTCTCCCTTGTTCAGGTCAGCTATTTCTGTGGGTTTCACCAGCCAGGTCATGTCCCCCTTGCTTATCGCTCCTCCATCTCTGCAACTGGGTTCCAGGAGCTCTGTTAAGTGTTAAGCTGTGGGTGTCTACCTCTGCTTCCATCAACCACTGGATTAAGGTTCTAGGAAGGCATGTAAGGTAGTCATCAATCTCATTATTGAGGAATGATGTTTAAGGTAGCCTCTCCAATATTGCTTAGATTGGCAGTTGGTGTCATTCTTGTAGATCTCTGGAAATCTCCCTGGTGCCAGATTTCTCTTTAAACCTATAATGGCTCCCTCTATTATGATATCGCTTATTTTGCTTTCCTCTATCCTTCCCCTGACTCAACCTTTCTGTTCCCCCATGTCCTCTTCTCCCCTATCTTCTCCCCCTTTCTTACTCCCATTTCGCTCTCCCCTGCCCCCATGCCTCAGATTTGTTTTGATTTCCCTAGGGATGTTGAGAACTTTCTTAAGTGTGTTTCAGCCATTTTAGGTTGCTCTATTGAATATTCTCTATTTAGTTCTGTGTCCCACTTTTTAATTGGATTATTTGGTGTAGTGGACCACATGAAGAAACTGGTTTTCGAGCATTTTATTGAGTAGTTTTACATCTGTGGTCATAAGGGAAATTGGTCTGTAATTCTCTTTCTTTATGTGATTTGGATATCAGGGTAAAATGAATTGGGCAATGTTTTTATTTTGTGGACTAATTTGAGGAGTTTTGTGTTAGCTCTTCTTTGAAGTCTAGTCGGATTGTAGATAAAAGCATGGGGCCTTCAGCTTTTTTTTTTGTTTGTTTGTTTGTTTGGGCACTTTTGATGACTGCTTGTATTTCACAAGGGGTTTTAAGTCTAATTAAATTATTTTTCTGATCTTGGTTTAACTTTGTTAAATAGTACCTATTGAGAAATTTATCCATTTCATTTAGATTTTCCAACTTGGTGAAGTATAGGTTTTAAAGTATGTCCTTAGGATTCTATGGATTTCCTCAGCATCTGTTGTTATGTCCCCCCTTTTGTTTCTGTTTTGTTAAATTGGGTATTCTTTCTCCATCTTTTAGTTAGTATGGATAAGGGTTTGTCTATCTTGTTGTTTTTCTCATGTGCCAACTGTGTTTCATTGATTCTTTGGATTGTTCTCTTGTTTCTATTTTATTGATTTCAGCCCTCTGTTTATTATTCCTTGCCATCTACTTCTCTTGGGTGTGCTTACTTCATTTTGTTCTAGAGCTTTCAGGTGTGCTGTTATGTTTCAAGTATGAGAGCTCTCCAATTTCTTTTTTAATGTAGGCCCTTAATGCCATGAAGTTTCATCTTAGCACCGCTTTCATTGTATCTCACAAGTTTGAGTGTGCTGTGTATTCATTTTCAATGAATTTTAGAAAGCCTTTAATTTCTTTCTTTATTTCTATCTTGCCCCATTTTTCATTCGGTAGACAGTTGTTGTTTCCATGATTTTATGGGCTTCCTATTGTTTCTGTTGTTGTTGATATTCATCTTCAGCCTATGATGGTCTGATAGGATGCTGGGAGTTATTTCATTTTTTTTCTATCTGTTGAGACTTGTTTTGTGTCTGAGTATGTTGTCAGTTTTGGAGACAGTTCCATGAGATGCTGAGAAGAAGGTATATTCTTTTGTGTTTGAATGAACTGTTCTGTAAATACATTAGGTCCATTTTTTATGCATCAGTTAGTGGTGAGAGTAGGGCATTGAAGTCTCCCACTATCAGTGTCAATATGTGATTTAAGCTGTAGTAGTGTTACAAACTTGGTTGCTCAAGTGTTTGGGCCAAGGATGTTAAGAATTATTCTGTCATGGTTGTAGATTTTTCCTTTGATGATATGTAGTGTCTTTCCCTGTATCTTTTGATTAGTTTTGTTAGATTTTAAAATGGCTACATCAAGCTTGTTTGTTAGGACCATTTGCTTGGTGTATCTTTTTCCAAATCTTTACTCTGAGGTAAGATTTATCCTTGATGTTGAGGTGTGTTTCTTGGATACAACAGAAGAATGGATCCTGTTTTCACATCCATTCTGTATATTTTTATTGGGGAATGAGACCATTGATATTGAGGGATATCAATGACCAATGATTGTTGAGTCCTGTTATTTTGTTGTTGGTGGTGTGTGTGTGTGCTTCCCTACTTTTGATTTTGCTGGTCTTAGATTATTTGTTCCCTGTGTTTTTATGGATGTAGTTAATCTTCTTAGAGTTTTCTTTACCATCTTCTGTAGGGCTGGATTTTAGATAGGTACTGTTTAAGTCTGGCTTTATCATGGGATATCCTGTTTCTCTATCCATGTGTATTGAAAGTTTTGCTGGGTAGAGTAGTCTGGGCTGGCGTCTGTGGACTCTTGGAGTTTGCAGCACATCTGTCCAAGCCCTTCTGGCTTTTAGAGTTTCCACTGAGAAGTCGGGTGTAATTTTAATAAATCTGCCTATATATGTGACTTGGTCTTTCCACTTGTAGCCTTTAACATCTTTCTTTGTTTTGTGCATTTAGTGTTTTGATTATTGTGTTCTGAGGAGACTTTCTTCTCTGGTCCAATCTTTTTGGTGTTCTATATGCTTCTTGTAACATTATAGGCATCTCATTCTTTATGTTATACAGGAAATCTTTCATCTATGATTTTGTTGAAAGTGTTTTCTGGGCCTTTGATCTGGTATTTTTCTCCTTCTTCAATTCCTATTACTTTTAGGTTTGATCTTTTCACAGCATCTGAGATTTCGTGGATGTTTTGTGTCAGGAATTTTTTAGATTTAACATTTTCTTTGACCAACATATCTATTTCTTCTAGTATCACCAATACCGGAGATTCTGTCTTCCATCTCTTGTATTCTCTTGATGAAACTTTCCTCTATAGATGTTCTAATTTCTACATTTTATGACCAGAATTTGCTCAGTTTTGTTTTTTTTTCTTTTCTTTTCTTTCATCCCCCACCCCTCAACAGGGTTTCTCTGTGTAGCTTTGAAGCCTGTCCTGGAACTCACTCTATAGTTCAGGCTGGCCTCGAACTCACTCTGTGTCCCAAGTCCTGGGATTAAAGGCATGTGCCACCACTGCCTGGCTTGTGTTTTCTCTATTGTTTCTATTTTCAGGTCTTAAACAGTTTTATTTGTTTTCTTTATCTTTTTGTTTGTGTTTTCTTGGATTTCCTTAGGGGATTTATTCATTTCTTTCACTTGTTTCTGTTTTCCTGGATTTCTTTAACGTGTTAATCATTTCCTGTTTGAGGACCTCTATCTACTCCACATAGTTGGTTTTAAGGTCTTTTTCTTGTGCTTCAGCTATGTTAGGATATTCAGGGCCTGCTATGGTAGGATAGCTGGGCTTTAGTGCAGACATATTGCCCTGGCCTTATTGATATATTTTTACTTCAGCATCAAGGTTAGGGATGATTGTAGGTGTGGGTACTGATTTTTGGGCTTGTCTTTGTTGGGTTGGTGTTTTGTTCCTTGATTTCTGCTTCCTTTCTGGATTTTCAGGGAGTGTGATGGCTTTAACCAACTATTTTACTCATCTGCACTACTGGTGTATTCACTGGATGTTGGTGTTGGAGGCTAGGATACAGTGATCGGCAGGAGGAAGGGATGGTCTGTGTGGTCCATAGGAGATGTGGGTAGAGGGCAAGGGAGGCTACAGCTGGTGATTTGTTGTAGTGCCAGGGATGAGACCAAGGGATTGGGCCTAGGGGAACAAGATAGAAGAGAAGGCTTATAAGCATTCTACCTGGTTTTCTGACAGATGTCTTAGCATAATTCTTAAGTACCGGGGTCATTGCAAATAGGTGTGCTCATGGAAGAATGGACACTCTGGGGCATAAGTATGGGCTTCTTTGGGAGCTGCTCCACTGCTGCAGCTGTATCCCTGGTATTCTAGAGACCAAAGGCATTTCTGTGACCCTCCTAACAAATGGAATCATGTCATGTAAGATATATTGGCTTGTTGGTGACATTATAGGTGATCTAGTGTAATTCTGATCCAGGTCAATTCACCCAGACATATTAGGTGAGAACACTCACCAGCTGCTTTGGATGTCATGATAGTCTATTCATACTGAGTAGAGTGATTATTCCTTTGGGTGTCTATGTGTGCATTTGCCATCCTCAGGTTATCTGGAAGTACAGATTAGGTGAGATCTTTCGTTGTTCCATAATAAGTTCTTTGTTTTCCCTCAGTTTGTAGATAAACCTGGGCATATGCATGTATATTTTTCCAATATAGGTAGAAAAAAAATGTCTATTTACCATGAGGCAAGAACAGAAGTGTTAAGATGCACAACTCTAGGGAAACTCACTAAATGCTAAGAAGTTAAGTTAGTGTGACGATATGAGTGCTTATAGTGTTAGATCAACTTGTTTAACTTTCAAGCTACCATAGAAGGTAGTGTGAATATTTTTGGTGCTGGTAGGGAAAAATTTATCACTTTTGTAATTATCATTCATTTTCCTTCTTATTGAGCAGATTGGAACAGCATTGTGACATCTTCAGACCACGCTTGGAACAATCACACTGTAAGCATATTCCTCCCTGTGTCCATAACCAGGTTCCCTTGTCTTTAAAGACTTTGCCTGTAAGTGTAGCTCACAGACTTTTGTCTCAGAAAAGAAGAAAAGAAAAAGAAAAAGACCCATACATGGTGTACTTCTTAATGTTAGGACTTGGGAAGCTGACACAATCGACTATCAGAGAAGCCTAGAAAACCCAGGAAAATGAAGACAATAGTACATACATGGTAATAAGTTCAAAAGAAGAAGAAATTTGGACTGTTAGAAAATGTGTTTGCATTTCAGGTAGGCCAGTTCATTAGAGATGCTCAATGAATAATATTTTATAAAGCAATGCAGCATGGGCAGGGGAGAGGTAGAAGGAGAAAGAAGAGAGAGAAACTGCCTTTTTAAAAAATTTATAAAAAAGAATGAGCTAATTCAATGAGAATAGAATGGATAACAAGATTAACATATTGTACCAGGGAAGACTTCTTTTATCATTATAGACATGAAGTCTGGAATCAACAAGACAGAGTTGAGGCAACCAGAAACCTAATTACAATGGGATATAACGTGTGCTCTGATAAAGACAGTCATCCTAGTTAATTGCTGTACAGACTCACCAATCTATGTAGAGCCTCTGGCAATGTTTTCCATGCAGACACCTCCCAATAAGGTAATAAGATCTTAAACAGCTTTGATTCTGCAGGATTCTTCTAGACTTGTTTTACAGTGAGCTCTGGATTAAGGAGCTTGCTTGTGTAAGGAGCACAGAAGAAACAATGTTCAAAGTCAAAGAAGAACCCAGAGAGGAGATTGTGAGGAATATGTGGCTGTTGAGGGAGCAACTCTGGACTGGATATAGAGAGCCCTTGTCAGCATGTGCAAGGACTTGGGTTCTTGGTTTTGGTCTCTGGCAGGACACCTTCCAGCCAAACAAAATGAAACAAAACAAGCAAGCTGGCAAACAAACAAAAACACCTTCAGGCAAATTGGAGCTGCTCATATTGGGCTAAATGGACTTATGCTTTTTAGAACTAATAATGCTAAGACACCATATATATTGATATCATTTGTTTTATTAGCATGCTTTTTTGAGACTGGGTCTATTGTAGAATAACTGACCTGAAATTGCTATGGAGGTGAGGGTGATTCTGAACTCCTGTTCCTCCTGCCTCCATTTACCCAGCACTGATATTATGGGAGTATACCACCATGGTTGGCTTCTTTTCTCCTTCCTTTTCTTTTCTATTCTTTCTTCTTTTCTTTCTTTTTGAGGTAGGGTCTCATTGATATTAGGCTGGCCTCAAACTCTATGACCATAAGAAAGGTTTTGAACTCCTGACCACACAGGCTTCACCTCTAAACTTATGGGAATACAGGTTTGCACCCCCATGCCTGGCAATGGCTACATACATTTTGAACCTGTACATCAACTTTTGGACTCCTTCTCATGAAATGATTAAAAAGTTGTATGGGAAGATGTTTGAGAAAAGTTGGCCATTGCTGCCATTCATAATCAGGAAAATGTTATGAATTAAATGTTCACATGGATACAGTGGACACGCCTGTGATCCAAGCACTCAGGAGCTGTAAGCAGGAGGATCAGAAGTTCATCATATTAGCTACCTAGTGAGTGCCAGGCCAGCCTAGGGTACATGCTACTCTCTCTCAAAAGCAACACACATTACTATATCTCCCCACAGTTTCTGTCAAGAACATGTGAGAATCCCTTTCCCCAGAACCCACTGAACACATTGTTCAAAGACATAGAGTCAGAGCTCACATAGCTTAACTAACTTGTCCATGGTCTCCCTGACTAAGCACAGGAGCTGGGATCGTGACTCCAGAGATGAGGCTCATGCACAGGCAGACTTCATTTTTCATCCTCCACCTACTTGCAGTTAAACCCATCCCATGGGGTCTGGTGAGGGTTAGTAGGTTAGTGCTAAGCTCACCTGTTGCCAAGCCTGTCTCTTGCTTATTTCAGTATGTGCTGATCCCTGATCACATGCATCAAGGCATTTGGATATTCTAGATTTATTGCATATTCTAGACTAACCACAAGCCAATAAAGGTAATCGTTCAGGTTAAGGACTAAGATGTGTTTTCTGTTTGTCTTTCTTGGTGTCTCTTTAATTTACTGCTGTTTTTGTAGGAAGTTTTCCCAACAAAGATACCATTGAGGGACACCACTAAAATCACCTATGTTGGAATCTCCATTGCCATCTTGTTGCTGCTGCTTCTTGCAAGTGTCCTGATTTTTGCCAGTGAGTAGCTTTACCACTGTTCCCAATGTCAGGAATGGGTCTGGGTCTCTGTGGTGAAGGAACACCAAGGAATTTGGCACATCAAAATGTTCTACTCCTGCAGCAAGGTGCAAAGCCACTTTAAATTCACTGAGCAAGCACAGCCAGTAGGGATCCTGCTGGGCCTTTAACTGTAAAGCAAAGAGGTCCTATGCCTGCCTCTGAGTGCTCAGAGCTTGGCCTCACATTCTATGAAACTGGCCATATAAAGCAGTGTGGTGACTAGAGAGAAGGGCATCTGAGCATAGAATTTGACAGTAGGAAAATGCTTGGTTCACATGGCCTATTGGTGTCTTCCCACATTTCTTTCAAGATGGTGCTTCCACTACCTTATTTAGCCCTTTGGTAAAATTCAATAGCTTTAATGTGTATTTCCCAGGCCAGAGGATCAGAGCAAGGATTCTCAGCTGCTCTGCCTGCCTTCAAGGAACTCCACCTGCCATGGGGTTTACATTCTTCACTCTAGTGCACATACTCCCACACAGACATAGACAGACAGACATACGCCAGAAAAGAGAGTATGTGTGTGTGTGTGTGTGTGTGTGTGTGTGTGTGTGTGAGAGAGAGAGAGAGAGAGAGAGAGAGAGAGAGAGAGAGAGAGAGAATAAAAATTTAAAGAAAAAGTAATTAAATACTATGAAACTTGTACTGGGTTGATATCTGGAAGGTGAAGGCAACAGACCATTACAAGACCTATGGTGTGTTCTCCTCTAGCCTTGGGATCTGGTTTTATCCCCAGTGATACAGCTGAACATTCTAGAAGAAATTTAATAGAAGAGACAAATAAGAAATTGGAGGGAAAACTGCATGACTAATACTGGAACCGAGTTCTTTGAGGGTGGCATTCAGGCCTTCATGGCCCTCTCCTGAAGGGTTTGTGGGAGTGCACCTGGTATTTCTGTCTGTGTAGCCCATTCCCTGTGTAAGAATATTAGCCCTTGTCCTTTCAAGACACCACACATGAGTTCATCACTGACTGATTTCACATGCTGGGCAGCAAATAGGGAATAAGAATAAGCATGTGTTCCCCATTAATTCTTTAGCACTTTGTTATTAAAAGGCATATTTAAGCTGGCTCTGGTGGCATGTGTCATTAAGCCCAGCATCCAGTCTGCTGAAGCAGAAGTATTATAGCTCCTGGTTAGTCTGGGCTAAAATTAAAATAACGTCTACAAGTTGGAAGTAGAAATTGAACAAAATCTACAATTATGTTCAAAAAGTTGTTTATTCTCCCCTGATGGAGGGTGGCTGCTGGGAGTCTGGCTGTCTGTGACAGGAAGTGGAGGGTGAGGAGTAAGTGGTGCATATAAACATCTCTTGATGCTTACACTAAGAAAGGAGCAGAAGTCAATATAGCAGTCTTCATGGAAGAGAACATTATTAGGATCTTGTGTCTCGGGCTGCCTGGACAGTCCAGGTTCAGCTTGTTCTCCAGCAGCTAATTTATAAACCTGGACATCTTCATTTCCATCGGTGAATGATGATTTACCAAAGTCATTCTAACACATTAGGAATGCTATGTAGGCCAGTGCATCAAACCATGAACACCAAGAAGACACTTCCTGTGGGGTACAGAAACAAAGCTCCCAACGCTACCAGGGAATGGTTCAAATAAAAATGATACCCTTGATTAGAAGAAAGCATCATGATGGTTTCTGATGACATGTTTCATTTTCCTTTCTATCCCTTCTGCATCACCTCACCCTAATTTAGAATACTGCTATGTGGAAAGGAAGATGGGATCACTGAGGTAAGCGGGCATGGCTTGTGTCAATTCTGCTTCTACTCAGTCTTGTAGATTTTGTTTTGTTTTCCCCTCATCCTCTTCCCCTTCCTCTTCCTTCTTTGCTTCTTCCAGGCAGGGACACCTTGCTTGACTCCCATTGTTCACCTTAGATTCTAAAATTAGTTTTCCTAGCCTTTCTTGTCTTACCATACCTTCCAGGGAGGTGTCAGCATTCTGATTTCCCAACCATTGTATCTGAACTGGTACCAAAGGATCGCCTCAGATCTGACAACTTGTAGCAAGTGCTGAATGGTAGATTTTGCTTTCTGGAGTGGGTATTGAAAGAATTGCTTTGATTTGCAATTTGGTTTTATTTGATGAGTCCTTCATTGTGTACCAGTTATATTAAAGATGATGAAAGGGCTAGAGACTCTCAGTGGTGATGCTTTTGCACAGACACAAGCTCAGCTTCCGCACCCACAACTGCCTGAAATTCCATCCCATATGGCTAGGGATACCCCATCATTACAGACTCCTGCATTCATGTGCACATATCCACACACATAGATACCCATATATGCATAATTAAAAGTAAAATATACTCAAAAACAATTACTGAAATCCATGCATGTGGTACATTATACACACATTCAGAAAGAACACCAATATTCATAAAACAAATGTAAAAATAGTAAAAACTGGTGAATAGAATCAAAGACCGAGGGAGCTAATAGCCAGGTCCTTTTAGATGCTTTCAGGTATGTATTGGCTGTTTCAGTGAATCCTGAAACAGTGAGAGCAGGAGATTTGGAGCTTGGTAATTCCTGTAGAAGCAAGGAGTGCAAAGGAACCCTGGCAAGCCACTGCCTCTCCTGTTCATACCGCATTCTCTTCACTCAATTATAGTAGTTGTCTGCCTTGTAGGCTCTCTAATTTTTTTTTCCCAGCAGAGCCGCCTCAGACACAGAAAAAGTTTGATTCTGCTGCTCTTTAATTGATCATATTTCTGAAGCTCTTTCAGGCTCTCCTCTGAAACTGCTCTGTACCTTCTCCATGACATGTAGTTGTCTGCATTGCGATAAAGCCATCTAGTCTGTTTCATTTGGTTCAATTGGCTCTGCACTGGGTCATTTTAAAATCAAAACCCCACAGCCCTCTGGCTGTTGCCCACTAATCCTACTTCTCTTTGTTGGCTGTTTCTACAAAGGCTTCTCTGTGTCTGAGTTAACCACATGAGCCAATGTGATGAAGTGGCAGTGTGTTCTCAATGGTTTCTGGCGCATCCTAAGAGCCTAGTGCGCTTGCCTGCTATTGCGTCTGTCACATTCTTCCCAGTAATGAAGATGTTACAGATAATATACTATTATTCTAGGCATCCTACAGATTGGAAAAGAGGTTCAGAAATGTGAAAGGGTGTCCTAGGTTACACTGCAGAGTTTAATGGCCTCAGTCTGAGGAATCCATGCCCAGAATTCCTTTCACCAGCTGCTTCTGAGACTGGAAAGAGAATATTCCTTACAGGAAAAACCCACAACCTCAAACCCAGCATTCATTTAGTCTTTTGATTTCTTACAGTGTAAGTGTCTTTTTTACTGAAGGTTTATTTATTTATTTTTTTGTAACCGGATAGATAGTCTGGCAGTCAGAGAGCCTTAGTGATCCCCCCCCTCTCACACACATATCTCTCTCACAAACACACACACACACACACACACACACACACACACACACATCCCCAAAACCAATAAAACAGGCAAGCAAATCCAATCCACTGCTCAATATGTCTAGAGATTTCCTCATGACTTTTTCTGTCACTTATATCACACTGGCTGATCACAGCTTTTTGTCCCGACTCTTTTTCCATACATGTGCTTTTCCCCATCTGCTTTGTCATTCTTAGGCCAGGGATATCTTCATGTGGCCAACTGGAGACGTTCATTTTGGTTCCATTTCAGTTCTAGAAATGGCACTGTGTTCAAATGACAAAATTCAGCTATTTCAAAATGTCACAAGGATTAAAGTTAGTCTGTTTTCATCTTTGATTTGCTCCTCCATGAGTTCTAGAAACTCAAATGTGAGTCCACTGTGCCTACCCTGGTAAACATGAACAGAATGAACTATTGGAGTAAAGCCCCTCCCACAGCTTTTGGGGTGGGTCAGCTGCAAACACCTGCAGTCCTCTCCCCAAATTCCTTCCAATCCAGTGACTGATATTAGTGTTCATGCGGTGTCTGCGAATGTGTGTCATACAGTAGTGTTTGAAATTGTGCCACAGACTGCCAGCTATAGTAAAAAGACACCACTTTGCTGCTTGACATGTTTTTCTACTCCATGCTTAATATTACAGGATGTAGATGCTATGCAGGTTTCAAAACTCTTTTTTTTTAAACAAAACAATTTATGTATTGTTTTGAGTGGTGGTAATTGTGTGTGTGTTTGCACATGCCCAGTTCCATGACACGTGTGGAGGTCAGAGTACAACTTTGTGAAGCTGGTTCTTTCCTTCTCCTTTATAAATGATCTACAGATCTTATTCAGGTCACCTGCCACTCCTAATGCTTTCTACAGAGTCACTGACCAAAGCTGTAAACACACCAACCCTCCACTTCCTAGCCCATTTTCCACATGCATATTTGATTAGATAACTAACCGTGGTTCTCAATATCTGTCCTTTTAGATCTTCTACTTTTGTGAAGGGTTCCAACATGAGCTGATATTTCAAAAAAATAGTTCTTGGTTTGTTTGATGCGTATTAAACAAGTGTTTTTCTGTCTTAATCCCAGGGTCTTGTGTAGTGCTATTATTGTTCCCTGTTACAGTTTTTGTGAATGGGGCTCCTGGAGTTCTGAGTATGGGTCATAAATGCAAGCTCTGCTCAGACCTGAAAGGTGATGCCTTCCATCATGTAACACTTCTCTTTCTCTCTCTGCAGCTTGGTAGACCATATCTACAAGATCAAAGCTTTGCAAAATACAGTGGTCTTGAGGCTCCGAGGGAAGACACAGGCTGCATTATGGAAGACAGTGTTCATGTCAAGGGTTAAGTCACAGTTGTTCAAGGAAGGCCTTCCTCCTGCAATTGCAGCAGACAGCAACCAGATATGATCACACTGGACATCCTTTAATCCCCAGGGCTATTTTCTGTGTCAGTTCATCTGTTGTTCCCACTTGCCACCATTGTGGAATGGATGATCCTCTTGTTGCTGTTGATGTTATGCTTAGTCTCTCAAGTCACTGGGGAGTG